TGTACACCGTGCTATTGTTATTATCGTAATGCACTTTTACTCCCTAGATCACCGTCGCCCCTCGACCATAATGATGTGGTATCCGAAACTGGTCTTTACGAGGGACGAAGTCTTGGGTCGGTCGACGGTAGACGGTTCTAGCGCGAAAGCTACATCCTGGAAGGGGCCCTGATGGCACCGTTAGCGTGAGATGAGAACCGGGGTACGGTGCGCTTTCAAACGGGAGTACGTACGACCATGGACCCCCGTGTCATCCAACCGAGGCTGCCGCCCGCTGAGGGTCGCGGCGAGATTGGGATTAGCAGCGGCAAGGACGGTGCATGGAATATCAAAGACCTTTCGCCTTGTCCTCCGAGTACTCCTGCGCGACCTTGTCGAAACGCTGGCCCTCCTGCGGGCGTGCGGGACGTCAGTGCGGTGCGAGCGACGCGAGGACACGGGGGCTGCGATACGCGCCTGGATCTTTTGGAGTGCCTCCGTGGCCTTTGAGTGCTTCTCGCAGAGGATGTGCCGGACGTTGATTGCGGTCGCGGGTTTCAGCTTGCAGAACGGTTCGATCAGCCCCACGGTTCTCGCCGTCCTGGTGCGGCTGGCGCGAGGGAGTCGGTTGGAATGATTCCCCCCACTTACCTTGGACTTTGGATCCTCGGCAGCCTCGCTCTTGGAGGTGCTCTTGCTGGGCTTCTTGTCCGACGAACTAGATGCTTTCTTTGCCATGATGGAGAGGACCCCAGCCTTGAGCAGGGGGGAGTCAGTGGGATCACAGTACTGCAGCGCTACAGCAGTAGAGCGGAACTTGCTGCCTTGAGCGCTGGCGTTGACGCCGATGAGCACGTGGTGGTGCCTTTGAGCACGAGAGAGTGAAAAGATGGGCATTTGTGTCGAGCGACCGATGTCAGTGTGCATTATACGTATCGTAAATTCTTGTATTCTCGTGCAAAGACGTGAGGAGATAATGGACGCAGCACGCACGCAGACGGCAGACGGCAGACTGATTCAGGCCGCCACTGGCTCGTTATGGAAGGTGGCACGTGAGATTACATCATTTCCCCACACAGACGCCTACGCCCGACTCGACGAGTCGCCAGCTCGGAGCGAGCGACTGTCCTCTCTCTTCTGGATTCAGACGCGCAAGTTCTGCCATGAGTTCACGCGCACGCAGCAAACCATTGGCGAGTATGCGTCCACTGCTGCACGACACACCCGCTCATCCTGCCACGCTTCCAGGCGATCGCTACCGTGGTGGGAACGCTTGCCACAGCAGGCTACATGTACGTGGCGGGGGTGCAAATGAAGAAGGAGGAAGGCCAGGCGTCGATATACAGTGCGTCGCCGTGCTCGCATTGCTGCCGACACCTCTCTGACAGACGTTTGCAGAGGAGGGCAGAGGGTTGAGCGGCTTGAAGAGCAACGACAGCGATGCGCGCCTTGGGTCTGCGGCGGTCAGGGCAACAGTACAGGGTGACAGAAAGCCGTGAGGTCCTATGCAGGCCTGCGTTCGCGCTGCTGGTAGTTCTCGGTCAGTGGCGGATTGTATGACTCGTAGAATCGGACATGTGAGGTTACCCATCCATCAATCCATCCAGGGTGCTCTGACGCATCGTCTCTGCCACTCGACGAGCTCTTACTGCTACTGGCACCCCGATGAACGGTTGTCCCCACTTGTCATCGCTTTATGCCCAAAGGCATGCGGTGCGTGGGCCGTCGCAGCTGGGCAGTGGTGTCGGACTGGAGATGCGGAGAGGGGGACACGGACGAGGGGTGATCTGCAGCACGCACCGTATTTCGAGTTGAAAGGCAGGCAGGCTACCGCGACCCTGGTGAGGGGCACCGGCAACTCAAACGTGCTCCGGCCACCTGTCAGCAAGTCACATTGGTGGGAACAATCCGACATGGCTGATTGGCCAGAAAGACGACGTGGTGGCTGGCGCCGATGAGCACGGCGACATGGAATATGTATCTGTATCTGTGTTCCGCTGACCGCGGGGGTGATCACTGTGCTGTGAGCGCAGGATTGCAATGCTAGCCCCATCACATGGCGGTTTCAACACCTCGGGCTGGACTGCTCCCGATATCCTGCGTCCGAATGCCGATCAACGGTCGTCAAATGCTGGCAGGATCTGCTCGCACTCTCCCATCCGGCAACGCCCTCCGAATTCTGCCCGACCGCCGTCGTCCTCTTTGTTGGCGAGCCGCGAACAGGTACGGAATGTCGTGAGCACGCACGCACGCACGCACGCACAGCTGCTGAATCGCTGCGGCCTCGCTACCGCCATCAAGGCGCATTCGAACGCGCAATTAAGGGCAGAAGATCGCATCTGCAGTGTCGTGACGAGATGTTTCCGACAGGCAAGATCAAGATCCAGGATTGACATTCTGGCGCGGGCCCTGGAGGGGGGAGGGGGGGGGGGGGGGGGGGGGGGGG